TGTTGATGTGTTACCAGAAGAGTTTATGGCCTTGTTAAATTCTTGCATCGTGAAAGGAACGTTGTAGTCTTCACTGTTATCAGAGAGAAAAACATTGTGATCGAAAACAAATTGCTGACGGGCAGTGTCGATAAACCCGGGACGATATCTTGCGTTTGAGCTTGTGTGGGAGATTGTCTCAGCCAGACAGTTCGCGACGTCGTTCGGCTCGCTCACTGTTTCCCCAGTTCCTGGGAGCTTCAGAATAGGGAAGGTTGCGCTCACACGTTTCCCTGACAACCGTCGAACTAAATCCCAAATCTTAGAAAGTGGTGTTGAAGAAGTGAAAGATGATAAGAAATGTTGCCAGGATTGACGCTTAGCCGTTCTTATAGTACGTTGTGCATTTGCACGTTCTCTATTTCGGATGATTAATGCGTCATCTGTACGGTGTCGTAAATATGCTCGAAAAGCTCGCTTTCTCTTTGCCACAGCTTGTCGGACAGCAGGAGTCCACCATGGTACCGGGTTGGCTTTCCGGCATGGCTTGGTTAATGGGATACAGCGGTTTGCCACTGAGATAATTGTTTCAGTAATGTAAGAAATATTGTCTACTGGATGATCTAGGTGTTCATTGAGCTCAAGTTCACACAACTCAGTAAACTTGACCCAATCCGCCTTATTTAGATTCCACCTAGGTGAAAAAGAAGAGACCCCGGCGACTGGAAAATTAAAACGAAGAGAAATCGGATAATGGTCGCTGTCGTGGATGTCGCCGTCTACCGACCACTGGAACCAAGTGGCTAAGCATGGAGAAGAAATAGATAAGTCGATGGAAGACTCAGTATTATGTGACAAATTGAAATGTGTGGGATGGTTAAGGTTAAGTGTCACCAGCCTATGAATGTCAAGAAAGTCTTCGATTATTTTGCCTCTACCATCCAACAGTTGTTCATCCCACCAAGCTGGACTGTGGGCGTTAAAGTCACCGAGAAGAAGAAATGGATGTTCGAATTGCTGAACAAGATGGTTGAGCTGCCGAAGGAGTTCGGAGTTATCGAAATCCGGAGGAATGTAAATACTGCATACGTCTACGTCCCTGCCATTCATATACATCGTACATGCGACGGCTTGTAATTCTGTTTGGATATCAAGTAAACTATGTGTGTAATCATTTTGTATGTAAAGCGCCACACCACCGTGTCGGCGCTCTCCGTAGAGCTCATCGTGTCTGTATAATGTGTAATTAGAAAGTTGAAAATTATACTGGTCGGTTGGTAAAAACCAAGTTTCTTGGAGAGCAATCAGTACCGGAGTAAGTACCGAGAAGAAGTTTTTTATTTCGGCCCACTTAGAAAGCAGGCCACGACAATTCCATTGCAGCATGGTGTGCGGATTCATGATTGTGGACGCGAAGATCTTCCACGGCTGGGCGAGGCCCAGCTCGACGCGCGGTTACGCCCCATCGCCACCCGAATCGGTGGTCGTGGCTGGCGATCTTTGGACTGTTCATCCGTGTGATGGGAGGGTTTTGGTCGAGCGCCACTCGACCTCTGGACTTTTATCCAGCCAGTGGAGCGGCTTGCTCCAACAGACTTGGGCTTCTGCGCAATCTCGGGAGAGACAGCTGGCTGGGAGTCAGGAGGGGACGGCATCTGTTCATCAGGGACTTCAGACGTCTGAGTCGTGCTCGTGGTGGCAATCGGTTCGGGGCTCAGAGGCCGCAGCAGCTCCAGAGGAGGTAGCGCGGCGATCGGCTCAGTCTGTGTGCTGGAAGAGGTTGTCTGGGTGCTGGCAGCCTTAGCGTAAGTCCTACCGGGTGTTGGTGTTTTGGTTTGGGCTTCCACGCGACGGCGGGCCTCGGGGTAAGAGATGTCAGCTTTGGCTTTGAGTTCACAGATGCTTTTTTCTTTTTTCCAGGTCGGGCACTGAGAGGATGAGACTGTGTGGTCTGGGCTTCCGCAGTTGAGGCACGAGACAGGGGAAGTGCAGGGAGAACCCTCGTGGGGAGCCTCACCACACTTGGGGCAGCGAGCAGTCTGCCGGCAGGAGGAGCTACCGTGTCCAAAGCGTTGACATTTGTAGCAGCGAAGCGGGTTCGGAACAAAGACTCTGACATCCTTCTTTAACCAGCCAATCACGATGCTTTCCGGCAGAGTGGTGAAGTCGAAAGTGAGGACTAACAGACTCGTGTCGCGTCGTTGGCCATCACGGAACGTGGTCAGACGTCGGATGTGGGTCACCCCGTCCCCTCTGAGTTCGGACAGGATCTCGTCTTCGGTCATGTGGCGGAGTTCGGGAGCGAAAATAGTTCCTTTGCAAGAGTTCCGAGCGTGGTGGAGCGAAATGGTGACCTTCTTGCCGCAGAAAGAAGTTGTCTTCAGGAGCGCCTTGGTGTGTTTGCGTGAGTTCGTTTTAATGATCAGAGTACCGTTCGCCGGTGCCTCGATGTCTACATCGCATGGACCGCATATGGCGTCTACCTGCTTTTGTGGCCAGAACACGTTGATCTTCCGGAAGGAAACTTCACTATCGCAAGGCTTAACGACCAGGTAAGAACCGTTCGAAGCTAAGTAAGGCTCGTCAGAAGAGCGATCAGCGGTGGCACAGGCAGGTGCGTAATCAAAATTCGTGCGCGGGTCAGAGCTCCGGGAGTGGTCGTTGGACGGGCGAGGGTCAGAGATCCGGGCGTGGTCGGCAGACAAGCGAGGGTCGGAGTCCAGGGCGGGGTCAGAGGTCGAGCAAAGGTCAGAGGTCCGGGCGTGGTCGGAGGACGAGCGAGGGTCAGTACCGGGTAGGGCAGCCGAGGGGTGGGTGGAGGAGGGAGGGGTAACGGTTGGGCGGGAGTCGGTTTCCATGGAGGCAGGAGCAGGGTCAGGAGAGGGATTCGAGACGGGAGGAGAGTCGGTGTCAGAGTCGGAGCAGGAATCAGAAAGCGGGCGCTGACGGCGCCGCTTCCCCATGATGGGGCAAATGGAAGTTGGGTGTAGGCAGTGAAGGGTCAAGAATGGGGACAGTTGGTATCAACGGGGAAGATGGGAGTGCGTGCGCGAGGAAAGAGCTCAAACAGTACCCGTGAAATGCCAGCAATAGCAATATGCTAACGATCACCTTAGCCTGTGACTGTCAGAACTTCGTGAAGTGAGGCTGTTAAAGGGACACTCCCACCTTAACATTAGTTTTGAGTTGAGATAGCCAAATTGGTGGCCATGGCCTGCAAATACCGGTTTGGGCACTCACAACATCGAAAAATGCTTTAATTCGAAGATATGGAATTTCAAACTTGCAGTTTTCGGATTGTAAGGGGCTAATGCATTGGAATGCCCCCTTAGAATTTGTGACGTCAGCGGAGATCTAACGATTTTTAAATCTTAGACTAAAACCATCGTTAACACGTGGTGGTATACGCTGCTTTGCGCGCAACGTCTGCCGCACTTTAAGGCTGCCAAATTATTGCTTCCAAATAAAGTCGCTAGTAACAGGGGAGATCCCAAAAAGTAAACAAAAGTAAAAGCCTAATATCTTGAAAACCAGTGAATATTTTTCGGTGAAATTTGGTAGATATTCGTTTTCGCTCTTTCTGAACCAAGGGACATCACTTTCATGCCAATTCATTAACTTTTTTGAAGGTGGGAGGGTCCCTTTAACGGGTTCTCGGGGCGCTGATCACGAAATCATGTTGGTTTTGATCACAGATGATGTCCTCGTGCATTTAGGACAGGTCAGGTCGGGCCGGGTCAGGTCATGTCAACCAGTAGGCGTCATGCCGGGTTTTCAATACACCTTTTTTGCGTTGTTTGACGGCCAATCGGCAAAACCCATTCGTCTGATCTGCGTATAGGTGGCGACAGTCAGAGGCATTCCGGCAAAACCTTCAGCATACCTATGGGAAAAATGGATCGCTGATCCCACTTCACAGTTCGTCAGTTGGTATAACATTCGCTATTCGACATTCGCATAATTCACATAACATTGAGTTCCGGCAAGACCTTTGACGATTTACATCAATGCTTCGTCATTCAGTAATATTCCATCGTCGTTCGTCAAAACATCCCCATGCATATTTCGGCATTCCTCACAAGTCACAACATTTCGTCAAAGATAAAAACAGATACGCTGCTTTATGGAGAAGGACAACTATACCTGAGTTTCAACATAACAGTGGGAGGCATCGGTGGCGAAACTCAAATGTCATTTATATACCTAAATATCTGTTTATTCTAGGTCATGGACTTAACTGACATGTTATCGGTTCATTGAACAACGAATATTGGGCAGGCTACAGAGCGTTTGATAAGTCAACCCCGCCTCGAACACCAACCAAGGTGTCCAACCAGCCGGGCCCAACTCGCCAACTGTCAGCCATTCGCCCATGAATCCGACCACCTTGGCCTGAGGGTGGCCTGAGGGTGAGGCGTTGTCGCATGACAGCGCTGGGGCAACAACACAATAATGAGCCCCAGAGTTGTGGGGGCAGGCTGTGCTGCCCCTGTTGCCCCTCCCCCCAGTTCCAGTGCCTATGGCAGTGTCCACTGTCCACACCTCAATCCCAGTCATCCAAGGGGTGAGGGCTCTCACATACCACAGTATAAGCGGCCTTGGCTGTCACAAAGTCACAAAGGAGGCTCAGTCCTGTGGCCTAGGAATTCGGATGCACATTACGTGTCTACCTACCTATACAGCCTAATGATTCAAATTTAGTGCTGCACGTGACATAAGCTAAGGTCAATAATAATAAGGTGCAATTGATGTTATAGGCTAGATCTGGGTAAAAAAGGCATGCAGAAATGAAAAATCGCCAGTGTCTTATTACGCAACCAAATTACGACACATGGCGAGTCAATTACGGCGCACCAGGAACTACGGGATCACCACCTAAACCAGTGACAAATAAAAGGCAGAACAAACTCCAGCATGCTAGAAGAAGAAAGCGAAGGGTAAAGCACAATTCAATAGCGAAGAAACACTCCTAGCTTCAAGAAAACAGGGCGAAAATCTTCAATTTTAGCCCATTCACCCACCTGACGCCATGTTTGCGGCAAAAGGGACAGATTGGATTACTCTAAAATACTGCACTCAAGTCGCTGAACTCATGTTTGGTTCAGCAGAAATCAAAAGAATTATTACTGGTTGTTTGCATTCCAAAACATTTCAAGTCACCAGTGGAATGATTTCAGGACATTTTAACTTTTGTTTTTAAAAAATTAAGCTTCATTCGGCCATGATTCGGCCTATTCAAGGCTTGTGAACGAGCTACCATTAGCTGCACGAATTTAGAACATTTTTTCAGCAAAACCCTATGGATGAAATTAAATAATGCTTGAGATATCTATAAAACATTATTTTCAAATATTCTACAAATAAAACTCCAATAGTTTCAATTAATTCAAATGAGCTAGTGAATAAAGCGAAGAAGTTTCCCTATTTCACTTATAGCAGTGTTTTAATGGCTGTGTAATTGGCGTGCTTGTTACTTTCCTAGCGCAATAAGAAGCGACTGGAGGCTACTAAAACAAAAATTGCAAGGTCAGTAAGGTCAGTCATATATTGGTCATATAGTGCAATCAAAAAGGTAAGATACTTGCCTCTAGATTCGGCCATCCGGGTTCGATTCCCGGGCAATGCACGTGGCATTGCCGCTACCTGACCGCTTGGAACAGCGTGAGAGTTCCGGTTAGCACCTTGGTCCACTGGATGTGGTGCTTAAAGGGACCCTCCCACCTTCAAAAAAGTTAATGAATTGGCATGACAGTGATGTCGCTCGGTTCAGAAAGAGCAAAAACGAATATCTACCAAATTTCATCGAAAAATATTCACCGGTTTTCAAGATATTAGACTTTTACTTTTGTTTACTTTTTAGGATCTCCGCTGTTCCTAGCGACTTTATTTGAAAGTGCGGCATTTGTTGCGCGCAAAGCAGCATATACCACCGCGTGCTACAAAACGTTTTAGTCAAACATTTAACGGACGTTCGAAAGCCTGATGACGTCATCAGATTTCCGTAATGGTTAAGAGATAGGGACCACGCTGGTCCCACCCTGCAAGTAAAAGGAAGAAATTTCTTGAACACCGTAAAGCTGCGGGGGTTGCGACCAGGATAAATGGTGGTTTCTGAGCCTGGCCGCAAACTTGGCTATCTCAACTCAAAACTAATGTTAAGGTGGGAGGGTCCCTTTAACCCAAACCAACCAACCAGCAATCAAAATGAACAGATAACTTTCAGAAGAAGTAAGGGCTACTGGTACCATTTTTCTTTTCTTGGTAACTGTTGTACCAAGCATTGACAGTTTTGAAAGAAATTAAGCGGGTTTTGATAATTGGAGCTAGTCAGGATCTCTCACTCCATCTTTTTCTTTGAAGTTCAAGTTCAAGTTTATATAAACCCAAGATTCTTACAGATATATAAACCAAGGCACCTTATTTTGCCACAAGGCTCTAGTAGAAAGCTGCGGTGGGTGTTCCATATTACAAATTATGCTTCTTTGTCATCGATCTTGAAATAGAACTTGATTAAAGATTGTTTTTAGAACGTCACTTTAAGTTGTTGCTTGCTACGGGGTGCCTGGCATCTTAATTTAAAACTACTTAAAGTTTGAACTAACACTATTGTTAACTCAATTTAAACTTGTGTTGCATAGTTCAAATATTTGCCTAGGCTTGTGCCTGAATGCTATATAAGTGTGGTGTGGCTCATCAATGGATGTGAAAGCACAGTTTTGAGTTTATAGTTCCAACCAAGTTCCAACTTCCAAGTACCTAGGCATCTACTGCACAGGCGTTGATTTTAGGTGCGCTTTACTGGTAACTGATAATTCATAGCATGAGCAAGCAAAAAGCTGAAATTAATTGATTTAAAAACTTCCAAATTCTCTCCAGCTCCAGGGCTTTCAGTTGTTTGAACATGCATCAGCATTCCAGTGATTAACCTTACTTCCTTGAACCTACATCTGTCTCAACGTTTCAGTCCAGAGATGTCAGATTCTGATTCAAAGTCAAATAGCAGTGGTGGAGAATCAGATGAGGAGAAGCAGAAATGCAGACCACAGCAGCACGGTGATGGTGACAGCAGTGGCGCAACTCCCAAGAAGAGTGGTAGTGAAGAAAAGGGCCAAACAGAAGATTCGAGGAAGTCTGAGGCCCCCAAGAGAAGTCACGATGAGGCAGAGGCAGATGCTGGGGAGGACGATGATGGATGGATCGGGCCCATGCCTTCAGAGGCAGCACCTGTCAAAAAACAAAAAGGTCCGTCTTCTTAGGACTCCATGGCAACAAAGAACAATTTCATATGCCAGAATGACCAGATCTATAGTCCCTAATGTGCTCCAGTTCTAAAGCTTTTAATTTTTCAAACATACATAATACATCTCAATGAATTGAAAGCTTGGTTCTTGCAACCCTTGATTCTTGTAAACTCTTCTCACATGTGATCATGCTGTTAATGTTGGGCAATATTCATCACACTGGTTGTCATGCATTGTGCCTTGTTTTCAGTGTTGGAGTTTGAAGAGGTGTACCTGGAGAACCTCCCATCCACAGACTGCTATGAGAAGAGCTTCATGCACCGTGATGTGGTCACCCACCTGGTCTGCACCAAGTGAGTCAGACAATCACCTGGCACTGGCTAGTGATCCCACCTGGTCTGCACCAAGTGAGTCAGACAATCATCTGGCACTGGCTAGTGATCCCATTTGGTGTGCACCATGTCAGTCAGACAATCACCACCCAGCACTGGCTAGTGGCTAGAACTGGTCATTTTTTGTTAATTTTGCATTCACTGGTCTGTCTCCTCATTGCTGGGAATGTTTAACTAAACTGTATCCATTTATAAGTCAGTCGTTTAGTATTACTTTCTGGAGTTTCTGGAGAATGATAAGCTCTCCTGACTCCTGTCCAGAGATCAGCCTGTGTGCTGACCTGTTCTGCTCTGACGCAGGACGGACTTCATCGTCACAGCCAGCAGCGACGGCCACGTCAAGTTCTGGCGTAAGGAGGAGGTGGGCATCGAGTTCGTGAAGCACTTCCGCGCTCACCTGGGCGCCGTGCAGGACATGGCCGCCAGCGGCACCGGCGCACTCCTCTGCACCATCTCGGCCGACAAGAGCGTCAAAATATTCGACGTCATCAACTTCGGTGAGATCAATTAGCTAGCTAGCATCTTATTAAATGTCATTTGCAAAGGGATTGAACCCAATATGCCTGTGAAAGCGTAATGTTGTGGACAGTGGAGAATTACAACGTTGCTACTCGCTGCTGGGACCGGTCCCTGGGTGTACCGAAGGCATTGTATTGTATTGTATTGAACAATCATGAGCGATCCACATTCTCAAAGTGCGTGGCGATTACTGCTCAGAATTACCATGTACCGCTGCTGCCCCGGCCCGCCTGTGACGCCGCCCGGCCCGCCTCTCCTCCAGACATGATCAACATGATGAAGCTGCCGTACGTGCCACGCTGCTGCCAGTGGGTGCACGCCGCCGGCGACGCACTCGCCGCCCTCGCCATGTAGGTACCGCAGCACCGTGAGATGTCCCCAGTGGAGCACTGGATCGGTCACCGAGCAGAGTGTAATTATCGTAAAGGGATGGGCGCTACCGTCTGTGGTCTGACTGAGATTGGCCGTGACTACTGGCTTTTATTTACATAGATCTGCCTACTCTCAGCCCTCAGGCTCCTTTAAAGGGACCCTCCCACCTTCAAAACAGTTTATGAATTGGCACGAAAATGATGTCGCTCGGTTCGGAAAGAGCGAAAACGAATATCTACCAAATTTCACCGAAAAATATTCACCGGTTTTCAAGATATTAGACTTTTACTTTTGTTTACTTTTTGGGATCTCCGCTGTTCCTAGCGACTTTATTTGGAAGCAATAGTTTGGCAGCTGAAAGTGCGGCGCTTGTTGCGCGCAAAGCAGCATATACCACCGCGTGCTACAAAACGTTTTAGACAAACATTTAAAAATCGTTAGATATCTGCGCTGACGTCACACATTCAGAGGAGTATTCCTATGCATTAGCCCCTCTGAATCAAAATGCTGCAATTTTGAAATTCAATATTTCCGATTTAAGGCTCGATGTTGTGAGTGCCGAAACCGGTAATTGTGAGCCAGGGACCCCATTTTGGCTATCTCAACTCAAATCTAATGTTAAGGTGGGAGGGTCCCTTTAACCTTACCTCCGCGATGCATCCTCAGATAGGCCTAACGTACCAGTTCCCACCCGCTTTAGATCACCTGTCGCTCCACGCCCCACCATCAGACCAACAGCAGCTGATGGGACCACAGCTTGAACTGTCCTCTGATCCAGCCAACGTCCTGTCGGCTGTCGTACTGTTATAGTATCGGTTACAAAGTTTGTAAAAGTAGCGGTGGCCATGTTTTTCGTGTAGGTATTCATCCCCGACCCCGTGCGGGGGACCCGTAGCTCGACCCCTCACTGACGCCAGATGTTGGACCCGGAGCTCGACCCCTCACTGACGCCAGATGTTGGACCCGGGGCTCGACCTCTCACTGACGCTAGGTGTTGGACCCGGGGCTCGACCCCTCACTGACGCTAGGTGTTGGACCCGGAGGCCGGAGCTCGACCCTTCACTGACGCTAGGTGTCGCTGTCGGCAGCTCGGAGGCGGACTCGCCGCAGATCCACGTGTACGACGGCCGAGCGGGCAGTGAGCCGCTGCACACCTTCGCCAAGCTGCACACCAAGCCGGTGGTGCTGATCCAGGTACGGCGCTCCGTCCGCTGTCTGTCGGCCTCAGTCGGTACCACAGAGTAGCCACTCTGACCGTACCGAGGTCTATGATGTCTATATGTCACCCACGTCCAGCCCTACCCACCCCAAGCGACAGTGCCGGAGCATCGGCCGCTTTCAGCACATCGCTGTTTTGTAGGACATCATACTGGAAGAAGCACACAAAATAGCACATCAAACGATCTATGTTTGGGCTTCTCAGTGACCTGCACGCTTACTTCCCGAATTATGAATAGAGACTGGCGTAAGTGCTGGCAGAGCGAGCGTATGTTCACAGGGCGAGCTAACTATTCATATTTCACCGGCTCCAAGCTAATTGTTTGCTGTTTTTCCTGCATTTAAGTCGGTTCATTCAAGACATTTTGCTCAATAGTTTGCAGTTTGCATCGGTAACATGAGTTAATATTCACCCCGTGTGTAAGACTGATAATATGTTCGCTCCTCGTCCATCGACACAGTGACAAGCTCACCCTCCCGCTGCCCTCGATCACAGTACAACGTGCCGTTCCACGCTGCCGTCTCGGCGGACGAGGCCGGCATGATCGAGTACTGGACGGGGCCCAAGCACGACTACCAGTACCCGCGCAACGTGCGCTTCGAGTCCAAACTGGACACGGACCTGTTTGAGTTCGCGCGCCGCAAGACGGTGCCGCGCGCGCTCAGCTTTTCACCGGATGGACGACTGTTCGCCACAATCGCCGCCGATCGAAAGGTGAGAATGTATTTGGTGTGCCTGCCTGGTAACCGAAATTAAGCACCTCAATACTCATTGAACAGAAATACAGACAAGAATGAGAGCATTTGAGGGCGACACTAGTCTTTTCCATGAAATTCCTCAATATAGTATTCATCTTATAGTTCCTCTAATAACGCTTTGGGAGGATAACAGAAAGTGACATAAAAGTTAAAAGACCAAACATATGGAGGCAAAGACAATTTGTCATTGCAGGCTTAATCACGTCTCCCTCTCGCTAGAATCCATCGTGCAGCCGTCTCCGGTCTTTTCTGAGTGAGCCCCGGTGATTTCCTCCCTTCTGGTCATCTCCCGCCATTCGTTACCGATCTCCGACGGTCCGTAACGGACCCCAGCGATCAGCACTGCTCAGCCGTGTGGGGAGCCGTATGATACCCAACGACCCTCCTCGGTCGCTGTCCTCCCCACCACTGTGTGTGGACTGTGGATGTGTGTGGACGGGGTCGCTGTCCTGTCCACCTCTGTGTGTGGAATGTGGATGTGTGTGGACAGGGTCGCTGTCCTGTCCACCTCCGTGTGTGGGCTGTGGATGTGTGTGGACCGGGTCGCTGTCCTGTCGACCACTGCGTGTGGACTGTGGATGTGTGTGGACGGGGTCGCTGTCCTCCCCACCACTGTGTGTGGACTGTGGATGTGTGTGGACACTGGACAGGGTCGCTGCCCTGTCCGACCACACTGCGTGGACTGTGGATGTGTGTGGACAGGGTCGCTGTCCTGTCCGACCACTGCGCGTGGACTGTGGATGTGTGTGGACAGGGTCGCTGTCCTGTCCACCTCTGCGCGTGGAATGTGGATGTGTGTGGACAGGGTCGCTGTCCTGTCCACCTCCGTGTGTGGGCTGTGGATGTGTGTGGACCGGGTCGCTGTCCTGTCGACCACTGCGTGTGGACTGTGGATGTGTGTGGACGGGGTCGCTGTCCTCCCCACCACTGTGTGTGGACTGTGGATGTGTGTGGACACTGGACAGGGTCGCTGCCCTGTCCGACCACACTGCGTGGACTGTGGATGTGTGTGGACAGGGTCGCTGTCCTGTCCGACCACTGCGCGTGGACTGTGGATGTGTGTGGACAGGGTCGCTGCCCTGTCCACCTCCGTGTGTGGACTGTGGATGTGTGTGGACAGGGTCTCTGTCCTGTCCGACCACTGCGCGTGAACTGTGGACTGTGGATGTGTGTGGACAGCCGGCAGGGTCGCTGTCCTGTCGACCACTGCGCGTGGACTGTGGATGTGTGTGGACAGGGTCTCTGTCCTGTCGACCACTGTGCGTGGACTGTGGATGTGTGTGGACAGGGTCTCTGTCCTGTCCGACCACTGCGCGTGAACTGTGGACTGTGGATGTGTGTGGACAGGGTCGCTGATCTGTCCACCTCTGTGTGTGAACTATGGATGTGTGTGGAGGTGGACCGGGTCGCTGTCCTGCCCACCTCTGTGTGTGGACTGTGGATGTGTGTGGACAGGGTCGCTGATCTGTCCACCTCTGTGTGTGAACTGTGGATGTGTGTGGACAGGGTCTCTGTCCTGTCCGACCACTGCGCGTGAACTGTGGACTGTGGATGTGTGTGGACGGGGTCGCTGATCTGTCCACCTCTGCGCGTGGACTGTGGATGCGTGTGGACGGGGTCGCTGCACCGTCCGACTGGCCAGTTCGGGGAAATGTCTAGTGGCGCCCGAACTCCTTCCGGGAAGTGCCGTCGGCCATTGTCCCCGCCGTGTTATCCTGTGTTTGTGTGCGTGTGTGCCGCTCTGTGTGTGCTGAGTTTGTGTACGTCGGGACGGTTCCTGGAGGTCGGTGCTGAGCTGCCACTGCCGGCGATGTTATACCCGGCTGTGGAACAGAGCTCGGCGGATAGAATCGATCGCCGGTGCCGCTCTTTGTGACCGGCCGGTTCGTCGACTGAGCCCGGCGCGATCGCTTCCTTCCGGGACATTGCCACTGCTGGGAGTCGCTCCCCTGTATCGGCCCAGTTCCCAGAAACTGCGCCCGTCGCTCGGACCGCGTGCCCGGCCAATCGATCACCGGAACGGGGAACCACGTGTTTGTCCAGCGGCAGCGAACATCGCCCTGCGCCGAAGTCGTGACATTCGGGCTCAATAAAATACCGGCAGTGTTTTCAAATGCACAGGGCAAGCGCTCCTTTTGTGTAATGGATGAATGGCGTCAGTGGTGTTTCCGTAATGTTACATAATGCGGTGCGGTTGACCGACAGCACTGTGCATTCGTTGTGGTATGCGAGTGGGGGCAACTGGCATTCCATAAATTGACTTCCTGTTGGAGTGCCGCATGATTGTGTTGATTAATTGGGCTGTCATGTAAGTTGATTGGCTATTGGAATGCAGCGCAGCAAACTTTTCGTTTGAAAGTTGCTATTATATCCTTGGCCCTGGCTCAGCGTTTTGTACTTCATTCGACTGTTACAATGCACTCACTCGGGTCCGTTCACTATATTTTAGACTGGACTTATGAACTCTATGTCGACCCAAAGCCCCGTCACCCTGCCGTGTTTTCACCGGAGCCCTGTCCGCCCGCTCCGTCAGATACGCGTGTTCCGCTTCCTGACGGGTAAGCTGACCCGCGTGCTGGACGAGTCGATCGCGCACTACACGGAGCTCCAGCAGGCCAAGCAGCAGGTGCCCAGCATGGAGTTCGGAAAACGGTGAGCCGCGCGGCGCGCCACAGGCTGTGACGAGGCTGCGTTCGTGGGGTGGTGCGTGGGGAAGGGGGAGGGTATGCATAGACTGTACCAACCTGTTTCTAGTGCAAACTGAGCGGCTAGAGTGTATCTGGCTAAACACTGTGCAGCTCTAGCTTTTTCGGGTCTTGATTTTCGTTTTGTGTGTGGCCTGTTCGTATGATGACACTGGTCGGACTTTAACCGTTCTTTGGACCTGTCTTGCCAGCCATTTTCGTACGTTGTCCGCCATTAAACGATAAATTCAGTGACTCCATTTTTCGGTGTCATCCGTCATAGTTTGGCTGATTTGTGCATCACGGCGCCGCTGCTCTCTGAATAGTTGACCTGGTTTGTGTGGCCATCAGTTTCAACTGAGGCCAGGCGAGACTGGGTTTGGCATGCTCCGCGGGGCATGAGATTATGATTATGCATGGGTGAAGCGGAGGGGACTGGGGTTGCTGCTAAATGTCCTTTGTCTACTCTCAGCGTTAAATATTTGCACATTTATTTCGTTTCGTTTTTATGCCATGCTAAATGCCTGACACCTTACAATAACTTTTTCACTAAGCCGGTGTTTTTAATCGGGTTTGAATGTCCCCCTGCCTGATATTGGTGTTTTCTGCTGTGTGTCCGTGTTTACCAACGGTGTCGGTATTTGTTTTCTGGTATCAGTTTTTGTTGTCAGATATTTGTATTTTTGTCTGTCGGTGTTTGTCCGATTTGTCGGTGATTCTTGCCAATTGTCGGTGCTGGTCTTCATGTATCGATATTTGTCACTATTTTTATGCGTCGTCACCAAATAGTTACCTGAATCTCCCAATGTTCCTTTATCTGTGTGTCGCAGTATGGCGGTGGAGCGTCTCCCAATGTTCCTTTATCTGTCTGTCGCAGTATGGCGGTGGAGCGGGAGCTGGAAAAGTCGTCGGCGCTGAACCTGAGCACCGTGCTGTTTGACGAGAGTGGCCACTTCCTGATGTACGCCACCATGCTGGGCGTCAAGCTCATCAACCTGCACACTAACCGGCTGGTGAAGCTTATCGGGAAGCCGGAGAACGTGCGCTTCCTGCAGCTGGCCCTCTTCCAGGTGCGTGTCACGTCTCTCCAGATGATGATTAATGGGGCTCGGTGATGCATAGGCTGTGTGTCTTGAGCTATGATGGTAGTAAAGTACGTCTTCAGTTCAAGTAGGTATAGAACATTCTCACTTGTCCCTGTACATACAGTGAAGTCGTTCGTGTAAGTTACTTTTCGCTGTTCTCAAAATACCCTATATCGGATGCTCTTGGATGCCTCGTATTTCTCGAACCAACCCGGCATAGTTGTGGTCCATTTTACGTGGCAGCTCATAGGTAGGGCACAGATGTGGTCACATTTTTGTCGTGCCTTTAGTACCACTTGTGAACACTTTGCTGTCTGACGGATGGCGATGCTGAATCCCAATCAAAACAAAGCTCCGGCCAGCTTTCTTTAATCAAACATTTTGATCCGTGGGGATGAGTTTCCTTCCTTCTTCTTTGTTTTGTGTTTGCCGCTTTTTTCATTTGATGGACTGTTTCAGTCATGGCTGAAGTGGTTTTAAATGGCGATAGCTCCGTCATTGCTGGAACGATGGTGTATGATTTATTGGACTATCGGCGTGTTTTACGGCTCTAATGTCTGCCGATTTCTCTGGCAAACAAGCACATCATTCACCTTGGCGTCTTTTTTTGTGATTGGCGCGGCGTGAAAGGGAGTGTGTCCACTGCGAGTTGCAGCTCTGAACGAACTCACTTCGGCGAACTGAACACTTTCGCGTGCCGTTTGCAGTTGTCGGCTGCATATGGATGAACTTGTAAAATGTCGGTGAAAGGCGAGTAATATTTACACTCGAGGTACTGGTAACGAACGAATGACATTGGCTTGCATGGCAACTGCGGCTAGTATAGGAGGTTGTGGGCACACATGCTGAATGGCAGTGAATTATCATATCAGTCGTGAGCCGATGCCATTCGTCCGTGGTTCGCATTGTTGCTGCTGCCAGTACCTAACTGACTGGTGACTGGTGCTAGCAGCTCAGCTATATCTGGCTTCGACTATTTTATCTCTTCGCTGTGCGCGCTACCTAACTCAGAGTAGGATACCAATGTGCGTATTCAGCAGATGTCTAATGATCTAATCCTGGACAAGCTGACTGAGTTATTTTCGGACGTCAGGGCCGTTATATTTTTGCCACCCTGTGTAAAAACTGCAATAATTTCGAAAATTTAACTACATTTCTAAAGCGATTTTGTCCTTGCCATGATCCCTAGAACGACTCCCACGGACCGACCGCCGCCGTCCCGTCTGACTGCCCCGTGACGTGGCGCTCCGCCTGCCGCAGGGAAAGCCGAAGAAGCTGGTACAGTCGTCGGTGACCATGGAGATGGAGGCGTCCGATAACCCGACGCTGGAGGCCACGGCGCCGGACCCCACCCTCTTCTGCACCGGCTTCAAGAAGAACCGCTTCTACCTGTTCTCACGGTGGGTGCCGGGGCTCGTCCCTCCCGTCCCGTCCGCCGCCCCCGGGCCTCGTCCCGTCCCATCCGCCGCCCCCGGGGCTCGCCGGGGCTTGTCCCTCCCGTCCGTCCGCCGCCCCCGGGACTCGCCGGGGCTCGTCCCTTCCGTCCGCCGCCCCCGGGGCCCGGTCGGGGCTCGTCCCTCCCGTCCGCCCCCGGGGCTCGTCCCTTCCCTCCCGTCCGCCGCCCCCGGGGCTCGTCCCTCCCCTCCCGTCCGCCGCCCCCGGGGCTCGCCCCTCCTGTCCGCCGCCCCCGGGGCCCGGTCGGGGCTCGCTGGAGACGATACTCGGAGCGGAACAACAGAGCTGGCCCGGTGCCGGGGCGCCCGCCGCCGCGCCCCGGCCGACCTGTTAGTGTTGGCGCCGCGCGTGTTTTCACAGTTTCTTGGGGTGGTGATCTAACCTACTGGCTTCACTGGCGCCGGCGTCTGCGGGGATCATATTATCAGTCACCGCTGTCTGGCCGGGATGTGCGCGTGGTTTACTTTACCGTCGGAAGATGGATCATAACGGCTGCGGTTTCAGAGGAAGCAGTATTTTCTATTCAGGGGCGTTTGACCTGAAATCTAACTTCCCGCTTCGGCACTATATTTTCGTTAGGACAGTCTCACGTATAATACATGTAGCTCGATGTGCAGATCATATGACGTCATCTAACGCTTCAGTTATATGTTTACCTAATGTTTCACTTGTGATCTTTTACTTATCATGAAAGATATTTGATTTTATAGTTTTGTTGCGCTATTACGGCATGTGCATCTCCAGCTATTGAACCATACCTTCTGTTCAAACCTTTGTTTACCCAGACTATATTATGTGCCACGTCTACATTTACCGTCTCCTCACGCTATAACTACTCTGTTTGATACCCGCCAGCCGGGAGCCGGCCGAGACCCGCGGTGTGGATGTGGACCGTGACGTCCTGAACGAACCCCCCTCTCCCCCCCCCCCCACCTGACCTTCTCTGTCTGTTACCCACCAGCCGAGAGTCGGCCGAGACACGAGGAGTGGATGTGGACCATGACGTCCTGAACGAAACCCACAACCTTACCCCCCCCCCCCGTTACCCACCAGCCGAGAGCCGGCCGAGACGCGCGGTATGGACGACCCCACCTAACCCCCCACCCCCACCCCCACCCCCCTGTTACCCACCAGCCGGGAACCGGCCGAGACACGAGGTGTGGATGTGGACCGTGACCCCCCCCCCCCCCTGTTACCCACCAGCCGGGAGCCGGCCGAGAGCCGCGGTGTGGAGCTGTCGTGACCTCCCCCCCCCCCCCCCCCCCTGACCACCTCTGTTTGATACCCACCAGCCGGGAGCCGGCCGAGACGCGCGGTGAGGATGTGGACCGTGACGTCCTGAACGAACCCCCAACCTGACCCCCCTCCCCCTGTTACCCACCAGCCGGGAGCCGGCCGAGACCCGCGGTGTGAAGCTGTCCTGACCTCCCCCCCCCCCCCCCCTGTTACCCACCAGTCGAGAGCCGGCCGAGACCCGAGGAGTGGACGTGGACCGTGACGTCCTGAACGAGAAGCCCACCAAGGAGGACATGATCGCCGCCACAGAGAGCTCCGGTCAGTTGCGGGACGGGTCTGTCAGCGCTCACCAGCTGGTTTCGGTGATATGTGTTTTTGTTTTTTTAACCCTCGCCGGCACAGGGGGGTTGATGCAACCCCCCTAAGGTTTTTCGCGAATAACTCGCGTAAAAAGCGACCGATCGCGACGAAACTTTCAGTACCCTCGCATTGATCAATTTTACACCTACCCTGAAAATTTCATGACCCTGACCCCAATGACCTTTGACCTGTGACCTACTTTTCGAGACCATGTTTGGCCGAAATCGCGGTTCGGCGCATGTCGGCTCGCATTAGCCGCGCGTTTGCAAGCTTTTCGTGGTTTCAAACGTTCAAACATGTGATTTGATGTTGCTCTCATGCATTAGGGTGGGTGTCAAGGTCACCTGAGGGTCAGGTCAGGTCATTGACCTTTGGTGACCTTGGGTGACCTCGGTTCACTTTTTCGAGTTTTACATGTTTCTAGGCTAGTTTTTGGAGCTGAATTCGAATTTAGCAACCATTTGAACATTTACGAAATAGTTTTGGTGCCTTCGTAACATGTTACGAAGCTGTCCGAGGCGGTTGACACGTATTACGAATACCCGTCACAACCCCTACCGGTTGACCTGATCTGACCTGACCCGACCTGGTCTAAATGCTTAAAGACATCATCTCTGATCAAAACTAACACGATATTCGTGATCAGCACCCCGGAAAACCACATAGCAGCCACAATTTACGACTTTCTAACAGGTCCCGATTTTCCCGGTTTTCGGGTCATTGACCTGACCTGGAAGGTCACCCGATGACCTAGGACCTTAAAATTGGGTATCATCGGCTTCGTCTCGTGACGGGCAGCACGCTCGTTTTTTTCCGCGAAGCTCTAGCTCGATCAGGGGCCAAACGCGAGGGGGGGTCGTACCAATCCCCCCCCCCCCTTGTGCCGTCGAAGGACTCAAAATGGCCTGTGCCGGCGAGAGTTAAAGTAATTTACGAGTTCGCCTAGGCTTCGTTTCGATTACACAGAGTAATCATTTGTAGAGTGTGTCGATTGTAGAGGCCGTAGAGATAGTGTGTTACGATGAATTTGTCTCACTTTTGACGCCTTCCTGCCGTTTTTACAATCCCATGAGCGTATGAATCACGCTTTTCTTATCAATCTTCAACTACATTAACGTCCGGTCTCCGCCTTCACCACAGCCTCGTCGAAGCTGTACGAGAACGCGGTGATCCACACGTCCCTGGGCGACATCCACCTGAAGCTGTTCCCCAACGAGTGCCCCAAGACGGTGGAGAACTTCTGCGTCCACGCCCGGAACGGCTACTACAACGGACACATCTTCCATCGCGTCATCAAGGCGTTCATGATCCAGACGGGTGACCCGCTCGGTGAGTACTGAGTACTGAGCACCCTCCCCCAGGGGCAGGGGGATGGGAGACAGCATGCGGCGGGGTGGTGACGGTTCCATGTGCTTCGTTTACTTGTCTGCTTGTCTTTCTTTCGTTTTGCGAAGATCGTCGACGGAATGTCCCATTGGGAGATTATTTTAAAAGGAAGTGAAAGTTGTGTGTTGAAGTTGGACCCATGGACCTCTGGTCCATGCTGGTTGGAGATGTAGGTACAACGGTCGATGGCGAATCTATGCGGATTCGCAATTCAGGGGCTGCAATGCCATCCAGGGACTGCTGGAGACGGTAGATAGACCTGTCCCTCGCTTCTTGCGCTCTGCAGCAGCAAGTCGGCCTTGAATGCGAGTTTACGAGGTGGCTGACCGGGCCGGTCCATCATAAACTTTTCCGCCCGTCAAATCTGCAATGCACCGTTGGTCGGCGTCCGAAAAATCGCTCCGTTCGGCGGCCGTTCGAGTGACAGTCTTGATTAGGAGGGACCGCTAGCTAGGCGAGACGCAACGGGTCGGCCGGTTCGGCGAATCGCCGCCCGAAATGTGGCGGACTCGGGCCCGGGGCTTATGAAGTGGGACGAGCCACAAACATCAGTGTAACTAGCAGATGAAGGGACATAGACGGTTCCAGAATAGAACTAGCGTGACGACTTTGGACGGCCCAGATTAGCCTGCGATTTCGTCGCTATCTGATGAAGCTCCGACTGTGAATGCCTGTTCGGCGCCAAACAGCTTACCTCTTCGGACCAGTTCTCTTTCCTGGTGTGACGTCAAAGGGTCCGCCACGCCGGTGCTGACGTCATAGATGAAAGAAAATAAAAACTTTGAGCTGTTAGCCTTGCATGTAACTAGTTTTAAGCTAAGCCTTGGCCTACCATGAGCTATGGGACGTTGGGTCATGCGATTTTGTCGTGTGCTTTTGCTTGTGCGCGGCTGATTCTGAGGGGTCCGCCACATGCAACTGCCGCGGCTTAGCTCCAGTAATCAATCTCCACTTAGTTCAGTCGAGTTTCAGTATTGGTGGCGTATTTATGAATGCCGGCGAGGAAATGGACCCTGAGACTGGTTGACGGTGCACGCCACACTGTCCTGCTGTTGAGTCTTTTTTTGCCATTGGTACGCGGAAATCTGTTTTACAACCATTTATATCAACGGTCCCATGTGAGGTGGCTGAAGAACAAACCTATAAAAATGCAGCAATCTGTAAAACCCTGTAGTCTAACTAGGCGTTCTCTGAAGAGTGCTGGCCCATTGTGATAGTGGTCAACTGTAGGTATGTGTTTCGTGATCGGTCAAACTGTTGTGGTCCCGACTTCTATGTGAACCCCGCATTTTTATCGCGCCTTTCGCGGCTGATTGTCCGTGACGTCATCAATCGCCGCGCGACGGTCGTCGAACAGACTCCGATAGCCGTACAAGGAAACAGGGGACGGCGCGCGGCCGTATCGCCCCATCTATAGATCAGATAGCTGAGGTGGGCCCGTATCGGCTCAGACACTCGGCGCAGCACAGCGATGGTCTGAGGACACTGACGACACACGGCCGGCTATTTTGGGATGGCCATTACGTAGGACTGACGTTGGAATGGCAGGAACCTCACTGCGATTACGATAAAATACTCAAATCCTATTAGAGCTTTTTACATGCGGTGCAGAGCTGCCGTCCATTGTTATTTCGGTCAGTCGGGTATGTCGCCTCTTATATCATCATCGATGACGTGTATAATTGGCCCACATCATCCGTGACGTGTGCGACACGCAATGATGCGAGTGTCACGGCGATTTGCCGTCCCCCGGCCGGTGTGAACCGTGTGCTGGTGGCCGTGTCTGACCGTGACGCCCGGCCGGGCGGTGAGGAGGGATTTGACGCCGCCCGGCAGTGATTGACTCGGTGTGGCGCAACACGTCAAACGGCGCCGCCCGGTACAGCCGGAGAGGTGCCAACAAACGGCCGTGCTTTCTGTGGTGGTCGGGAGATGGGGATTGGAGACGGTCGCACCATCATCAGCTAAGGCAAGACCGGAGTTCTTACTGGGATGGCTAATTGAAATGATTAGTGAGATGGCTGTTTGAAATGATTAGTGACTGGAATTCACATTTGGCCCCCGGTAGATAGTGCCTAAAATGCACCTTCTATCTTGCTCATATCAAAGTCGTCAGAGCTAACTGTCGGTGCTTTTTCACTCGGCGGAACATGAAGCTTTGTATTCCCTGCTCACGTGAAGGACGGCGAGTGTGGCCTTCGTTTGAAAAAGAGGCGAGCAATAGGAAGACGGGTCGCTGATGACCTTCATTTGAAAAACGTGCCGTAGGGAAAGGCCACTCTCTTGTTAAACATTGTAAAAGATTCTCCATGAACGTCAGCACTTCATAAAGAATACGCTAAGCTGGTCTCAAAGACGTGGTCAGTTGCTTTCGAATGAGGTCGCTCCCATATTTCCTTATTTCACAACGCTCTGGGTACTTTCTGAATTTGTAGTTTTCTGTACAGATAACTAGTGATGCATACCTAAATGTGCACAGACGGTGAGCATCCTTCACCGTATTATATATGCTAGCTTAGTTATATGATTGAATGTGACAGCAAAGGGATCATTTTCCGGAAGGTGCAATTTCAAATGGAGCCAATATCAGCCTTTTTCTCAAACTTCAAACCATCACACACTAAAAGAAGGACCCTATGAAGGGTTGTATCCCCGTCCGCCTCCTTAGGGCCTGCTGAGCTCTGTAACCGCCCTGTACGGGCACCACCGGCGGATCCTGTAAACAATGATGGGTGACGCCGGAACTATGGTCTGGATGCCTTTCCACTCCAGCCATCTGTGGGTGGCCGGCGAGCGCCGCGCTAGGCATTGCATCGTACACGCCCTAGAGTGGTATGGGATAGTGGGCACCCAATGGGTGATATGGCGTGGAAAGCCTCAACGGAGCCGTCTTCGCGCTCAGTGCTCACCCTTGCCCGAAGAGGGGATGTCGTGGGAACGTTGAACCTAGTCTGTTCCCTGCCACTTGTGAGCTGGGCTGCCCATGCCGCCGTACGAGTTGAGTTCGGTGCACCTGTGAGTTAACCCTCGCATGTGTGCGGCGTTTGCCAGCTTCTAATGTGTAGGGGGGGTCGGTTGGACCCCCCCCCCTTGCCGTTTGGCCCCTGATCGAGCTAGAGCTTCGCGGAAAAAACGAGCGTGTTGCCCGTGACGAGAGGAAGCCGAGGATACCCAATTTTAAGGTCCTAGGTCATTGGTTGACCTTCCAGGTCAGGTCAATGACCCAAAGTCGGGAAAATCGGGACCTGTTAGAAAGTCGTAAAGTGTGGCTGCTAAGGGGTTTTTCGGGGTGCTGATCACGAATATCGTGTTAGTTTTGATCACAGATGATGTCTTTAAGCATTTAGACCAGGTCGGGTCAGGTCAGGTCAGGTCAACCAGTAGGCGTCGTGACGGGTATTCGTAGTACGTGTCAACCGCCTCTGACAGCTTCGTAACATGTTACGAAGGCACCAAAACTACTTCGTAAATCTTCAAATGGTTGCTAGATTCGAATTCAGCTCCAAAAACTAGCCTAGAAACATGTACAGCTCGAAAAAGTGAACCGATGTCACCCGAGGTCACCAAAGGCCAATGACCTGACCTGACCTTCAGGTGACCTTGACACCCACCCTAATGCATGGAAGCAACATCAAATCACATGTTTGAACGTTTGAAACCACGAATAGCTTCCAAACGCGCGGCTAATGCGAGCCGACATACGCAGAATCGCGATTCCGGCCAAACATGGTCTCGGAAAAGAGGTCACAGGTCAAAGGTCATTTGGGTCAGGGTCATGAAATTTTCAGGGTAGGTGTAAAATTGATCAATGTGAGGGTACTGAAAGTTTCGTCGCGATCGGCCGCTTTTTACGCGAGTTATTCGCGAAAAACCATGGGGGGGTCCATCCGACCCCCCCCCCCCCTACACATGCGAGGGTTAAGCTGGCCTGCCCTTTGAGAGTTGAGCTGGCCTGTCCCTTGTGAATTGAGCTCGCCTGCCAGCAGTAAGCTGCTCGAGTCCGCCTGCCGTGCGTGCGTGTTGCACGCTAGGCCGTGACGAGCCGCGCGGCGCGGCGCCGGCCGGTGTGTGTCGGTGGCGCCCGTCCGACCCCACACGAGGAGACGGTGGCTCGGCGCCGACAGACCGGCGTCCCCCGTCAGAACCACAGACGTCTGGATCGGCGACGGGTGACCGGCGACCGCCGGCGGCGCCCCGCCGGCACGTGCCGTCGTCTGGGCGGCGCTGCCGAGTGCCGGCACCGCAGACTGGCCTTGGTCGGCGCCGCCCCCGCCGCCGCCAGCACCGCCCCCGCCCCTGCAGCCCTGTCGCCGCCCCCGCCCCGCTGGCGCCGTTTACTACTGGGACGGCTAGCGTGGCACGGTGCCGCGTCGGCGGGGCCTGGGCGGGGGCGTCGTGCAGGACCCCAGGTCAGGTGCGGCGCCAGCGGCGTCTGCCGTCCGCTGAGTCAGCCGCCCCCGCCCCCGCCCCCGCCCGGCGACTCGGTGCCGGCCTTGCCGCTGTGTCACCACTGAGGAACGCGGCGTGTCGGCAGACCGGTGCTCCACAGCTGAGTACACACTGAGAGGCGCGCCGAGATACGGACACATCCGGAGCGGCTCCCGCCCCGCCCGGGAGCGGCAGGGCCACTGACGACACGGGGTCGAGCCCGCCCGCTCAGCCGGCCACCTGGGGGGCTAGGGGAGGGGCGAGGGTGTCGGACACTGGTCCGGATCGGATTCGGAAGCTGCCGATACCCGGCGGAAAGGTATCCTGTCCACGAGTGTTTTGGCAGCGTTTAACCTCCAGAGAAGACTGCTCGACACTCGTATCAACCGTCAGCCTGCTGCGAGGTAGCGTGAAGGTGCCGCCAGCTCCAGTGATGCGCCGGGGCAGACACTCGACTGATGAGGCTGTGTGTTACACGTCTGTTTACCGGCGATAGCGCCCGGCGGCCCGCCGAA